AAGAGGACAAGACACACCACAGCAGAGCTCTGGACCTTTTCGTGTCTCTCAACCCAGAGCAGGCAACTGGGAAGCTCTTGGGCAAACCCACGTACAAGAACACGCATCGCTTCTGTGCAGTGGGGTCAAACACTGGGTTTGTCTGTTTTAGCAAGGTTTTTACACATGCTCCTCCCAATGATTACAGCACTAAACACCCATTTTCCTACTTGTAGAGGGCTGATTTCTAACCTTTCTTCCCTGTGCAACAGGGGCAGGATCCACCAGTGTCTCTGGACCTTCAGGAACAGATGTCACCACGTCGGCAGCTTCACCTGTCTAAGGAAGAACACAAAGTGCAGTGCAGTCATAACTTCAGTCCACTTGGAGCATCAAAGAACGAGATTCATGTCACAGAGCTTCATTTTTACAGTGTGCAATGGTTAAACTATTAACCTGGAAGTTTCATTCAAACAACTCACCTTATTTTGTGGGACGGGAACAGGTTGTGGCTTTACATCTATTAAGTACAAGGCACGGGAAAGCAGGAGCAGAGAAGGTGGAACGTTCTCTTTTAAATGCAGATCCAGCCACTGTAAGAAGAAAACAGAAGGAAAAGGTACTTCATGTTGGCTCTGTGTCAGCACTTATTTCTAGAGCATTCTTTGTCCTTAAAGATCTTAAAGCCTTCTTGAGTTTGGCTCATACAGTTCTAAGTTACCAAAATGAGAAGAAACAGTTTTGAGGACTAGCGTTGGCTCTACTGGAAGTCTTGGCTACTTTAGAAGTTTAAAACATATTCCACCCCCTGCTTCATCTTGCTTGTAGCTGGCCCTGATGCTACTTGGTTTTCTCCTCAGTCTAAGACATAATCTGGACACATCATGCCTTAGAGCTCAGCCACGGAGGTGAGGATCCATCTAGAAACATTTGTGTAACTCTTAGTGAAGCTGTGTCTGCTCTAACTGAACCCACCACTCTGTCCCAGGAGAAACCTCGTCCAACAAGGCCAGAGCAGAGAGCACTCACCTGCCTCAGCTGCTCCTTCAGCTGCTCCTCTGAGAGCCCCAGTGACCGCATTCCTCTGGCTCTGCACGCGCTCTGCAGCTCGGACACGCTCAGGCCATTGACTCCTTCCTTGGCAATCATCTGAAAGGAAAAGGAACGTTCCTGCCTCGGCACAGGGGAAGCCAAAACCCTGATGCACTCGATGAGATTGAGGCCAAAGGAATGGCTCTTTAGGTAAATCTGCATAAAGTCACACCAACACAGAGATGGGACAGAACTGCCCCGTCCACCTTATAAACTAATGGAAATTCCTACTGAATTCAGTTGGTTAAAATCTGCTGTTCCCATACAGTATTTATTCCAGAATTGGAACCTTCCTTTTTTACAAGTTGGTACAACTCCAGAATAATAATGAGGGTGTTCCCCAGAGTGACAGGATCTGCAGCACCACGCTTGTTAGGGGTCACTAGAGGCAGGAAGGGGGCAGGAAGATGAACTCGCATTCTGGGTTTTTCTGGGATCTCTCCTGGGGAGAATCCAACCTCCATCAACATTAAACTTCAGGTGTGAGGCTGGAGTGTGGGCAGTGACACATCAGAGGGCAGACCCTGAGACTGAAGAGCGTGCACTCCACCAAAGCAGTTACATCTGTGCGATTCTGAGCTCACCTCATCATCTGCCTTGATGGTCCTGAGCCTCAGCAGCAGCTGAAAGCGGAGCAGGTTGTTGGTGCCAATGGGCTGCAGCTCAAGCAATTTGCAAAGAGCTACCAGCTGCGGCCGTTCCAGGTGCTCCAGGGTCAGCTCATCCTCAAAGAGCTTGGAGAAGCGCACGATCTCCTGGGTGCTGGGCCGCCGGCCGCCGTGACGGATCTGAACAAAGCAGAGGCATCAGGGCCAGAAGTGACCCAAACTGAATCACCCTCTTGTTCCTCACACCATTCCTGGTGCTCCATGGGAGCAGAACGAGACAGTTAAAAGGCCAAATGAAACAGAGTGGCCACTTAAAGGCTCTCACAGGGTAAAACCTTCACTTGTTCCAGGATGGAAATGCTCCTCTGCAGAGAGAGACGGAGTCAAACACTAGTGTCAGCGGGGCGTTACCTGCCAGAGGGCACCCACCCAACACAACCACCCAACAGGACAGCTCCTGTGCTCTCCAGCCTCTCTGTAATCTTTGCACAAATCCCACGTTCTCTGCCCAAACCAGCAGCACCAAAGTGGGTACAGGTACTCCTGCTGTCACCCCCAGCACAGCCCCTTTACCTGGTGCACGTAAGAGGAGAATTGCTTTCCTTGTCCTGTATCTGCTTTGTTCCTTTTGGCCATCTCTGCAATGGTCTCCTGCAGGAACTTCGCTAACTCCAGCTTTGCATTTAATTTCTTCTTCTGCTTTTCTTCCTTTATTTAGGGGGAAAAAAAAAAAAAATTACCAGAAATTCCACTTGAAAAATCAGAAGGGAGGCAATTCTGGGAAAGAAATGAAATAAGACTTTCAGTACTGAAAGCAAATAGGCTTTGGTTACTGTAGGAAATGAAATTGCTGTGCACTCTCCTACAATCCCTGTTTACAGTCCAGTCTCCCCAGTCCACTCTCCTGCTGGGAATGAGGTAGGAATGTCTGACCTAGACCTGTGTGTGAGGCCGATGCTCATTTACAGCAGCTCGTTATGCAGTTGCCCAGACGCTCTAATGAGCTGGTGAGTCCACACCTTCAGAAGGGACACAAACCTTTTTTGACTCTGTCTCAAATGTCGAGGGCAGCATTTCAGGGAAGAGCTTCAGGAAGACCGGCAAGAGAAACTCCATGAAGGGGACAATGACAAACACCAGGAAGGGCACCAGCCGGAAGAGATCTGCGCAAGTTCTCAGCAGCTGCACAGAGAAGAGCACAGCAGAAATTATTATTCAACCAGACACACAAAAACACATGTTCCAAAGGAGTGTGGAAATGGAGCAGCTAAACTTCTTTCACTACAGGAAGCCTCTTAATGCATCATTTGAGCCGGGCGTTCGTTTGCTGGTACTTACCCTTCGTCTCTCCCTCCTAGTGAGGACCTGACCATGCAACAGCCTCCACACCATCCTGGCAGCCACCTTAGTGTCGATCCAAAGCAAGTGGAATCCATTGTAATAGTGCTTCAGCTCCTCCACGATCTTTTGGCGTAAAGACTTTTTCCCCGCGGGAGCCTCTATGACTTGTTTTGCCGGAGTTTTGGCCGGTTTGGTGCCCTGGGTGACAGCGTTTCCCTGGGGAGGAGGTCCATCCCGCAGCTCCTGGTGCCAGCAGGTGGATGTGTGAAGGGCTCGTGCTGGTGAGCGAGGCAGGGCAGCCCCCAACCCTGCGCAGCGCGGCCCCGGCGGGTCCTCCGAGCCTCGCGGGCAAGTCCAGGGTAAATGAGAATCCACAACTTGGAGAAAAGCGACTGCTGGGGAGTATGGAGGGGTGGAGTGTGCGAGGAGATGGCAGCCTCTGAAACTGGAGAGGTATTTAAGCAAGTAACAGGGCATCCTGGAGAAGGTACCCGGGCATTACACACTAATTAACATTCTCGGCGCCAAATTAATCCTGTGAGACTGATCTTGCGGCTGCCTCAGTATCTGAGATCCTGAGCCTTCAGCAACAGATAAAATGTTGAGAGTCTGTCCTGTGCTAACAACTTCTCTCTTGGGGGAGAACAACTCCAGACTCTAGGAAGCCCTGCTACCGATTGCATCGGCTAAAACTTGCCCGTTGCAAACAAAGGAAAACCAAAGCCCCTTCTCCTCTCTCTCCCCAGTTATGCAGTTGCCCAGACGCTCTAATGAGCTGGTGAGTCCACACCTTCAGAAGGGACACAAACCTTTTTTGACTCTGTCTCAAATGTCGAGGGCAGCATTTCAGGGAAGAGCTTCAGGAAGACCGGCAAGAGAAACTCCATGAAGGGGACAATGACAAACACCAGGAAGGGCACCAGCCGGAAGAGATCTGCGCAAGTTCTCAGCAGCTGCACAGAGAAGAGCACAGCAGAAATTATTATTCAACCAGACACACAAAAACACATGTTCCAAAGGAGTGTGGAAATGGAGCAGCTAAACTTCTTTCACTACAGGAAGCCTCTTAATGCATCATTTGAGCCGGGCGTTCGTTTGCTGGTACTTACCCTTCGTCTCTCCCTCCTAGTGAGGACCTGACCATGCAACAGCCTCCACACCATCCTGGCAGCCACCTTAGTGTCGATCCAAAGCAAGTGGAATCCATTGTAATAGTGCTTCAGCTCCTCCACGATCTTTTGGCGTAAAGACTTTTTCCCCGCGGGAGCCTCTATGACTTGTTTTGCCGGAGTTTTGGCCGGTTTGGTGCCCTGGGTGACAGCGTTTCCCTGGGGAGGAGGTCCATCCCGCAGCTCCTGGTGCCAGCAGGTGGATGTGTGAAGGGCTCGTGCTGGTGAGCGAGGCAGGGCAGCCCCCAACCCTGCGCAGCGCGGCCCCGGCGGGTCCTCCGAGCCTCGCGGGCAAGTCCAGGGTAAATGAGAATCCACAACTTGGAGAAAAGCGACTGCTGGGGAGTATGGAGGGGTGGAGTGTGCGAGGAGATGGCAGCCTCTGAAACTGGAGAGGTATTTAAGCAAGTAACAGGGCATCCTGGAGAAGGTACCCGGGCATTACACACTAATTAACATTCTCGGCGCCAAATTAATCCTGTGAGACTGATCTTGCGGCTGCCTCAGTATCTGAGATCCTGAGCCTTCAGCAACAGATAAAATGTTGAGAGTCTGTCCTGTGCTAACAACTTCTCTCTTGGGGGAGAACAACTCCAGACTCTAGGAAGCCCTGCTACCGATTGCATCGGCTAAAACTTGCCCGTTGCAAACAAAGGAAAACCAAAGCCCCTTCTCCTCTCTCTCCCCAGGCCTTTAGAACAGAGCTCTCTGTGCTTCCTGCCCCCTCCCTCCCCCGGAACATCAGCCCCTAAAGACAGGCTGCGTGTGGTTAGATGGCATCATCTCTTTCCATAGAAGAGCAAGGAGCTCACAGAACGCTGTGTGTCATGAGAACTGCCCAAATCCCTCCGGCCTCGGGAAACCAAACTTTGTACTTCCCAGGTTGCCCCGAGAAGCTGTGGCTGCCCCATCCCTGGAGGGGTTCAAGGGCAGGTTAGACGGGGCTTGGAGCAACCTGGGCTGGTGGGAGGTGTCCCTGCCCAGGGCAGGGGGTTGGAACTCCATGATCTTTAAGGTCCCTTCCAACTCTATGATTCTATGATTTTTCCCAGTTTTAGGTGTTTCCTGCTCTGACGTGGCTTTCTGCTGGCCACTGCCAATAAACACTCTGGTCCCACTGCTCTCACAGCCTACTTGGGCAGTGTGTGGGGGGCAATATAAATTTGTCTGGGGGGCAGGAAGAGCAGATAAAAGCTTAACTGTGCTCCCCTGGGCTGAGCCGTGCTCAGAAACACGCAGGGAATTCCTCACAAGCTGCTCTGGGGAGGTTCAACGGGGGGGGCTTAAGGTCCCTTCCCACCCAAACCACACCGTGAGCCTGTTCCACCAGGTAACCGTTTGTGGGAGCGCTCTGGGGTACAGCACTGACATCACACTGAACACACACAGCAAAACACCGGAGCAGCACCCGTGACAGTAAATAAATCACGTTTAATTGTGCCCGGTGCCCCCGTGCTCCCTCCGGTGTCACTCTCCCTGTCCCATCCCCCCCACCGAAACACGGGGCACCGGCAAACCCCACCCCGGCTCTCACCTGGTCCGGGCTACGGCAAGGAGCACGTTACAGCCGGAGAGGGCCATGGTGCCACGGAGTCAGCGGCTCTGCCGGGCGGCGGAGGGACCCTCATCTCCGGGAGCGGCGGCCGGGGAGGCTCGGGGGGCGCCGGGGCCCTCCCTGCCGCGGGGCCGGGCCCTGCAGGACCCGCCGGGGCTCTGGCACATCACCGGCCGGCTGCCGGGAGCGAGGGGAGAGGTGAGGGGGGACGGGAACAGCACCGGGGGCTCCCCACAGCCCGCCGGGCCAGGCCGCGCCCCCTCCTCGCGCCGCTCCCGGGCCCCCTCCCCATCCCCGCCGGCCCCGCTGTCCGTCTCCCAGCCCGATCCCGCCCCCCGGCTCCCTCCCGGTCCCCGCTCACCCCCCCTCC